GCCACCCTGCCAAGACATTTCTTTCCATTCTGGAAATATTAGCCAGGTGGATTGATTGGATATTATCTTTTGACCTGAATATTTCACAAAACTCTTCTGTTGAAAGTTCAAAACCATGCGTCCCAATCTGGATGTTTATATACAACTTGAAAATTCCCATTTTCTTTTAACTTTGTTTTAATTCATGAAATTTTAGCCTTGAATGATACCCTATAACCTTCAAATTAGTCACCAGATGATGTCAGTTTTTTGTACTTCTAGTGGTAAAGGCTTGAGTGAAAGGCAATGATGAGTCAGACAGCATGATGGCTCTGCACAAAGTGAACACTAAGGTGGTCTGGCCTTTCTTGCCTCTGTTCCCTCTTTTCCTTTGAGCCCACTGCTGGTGAATGGTCTTGTTAATCCAGCAGGGGAATTCCTTTTGTGCAGACCCATGGAGATCTCTGTCTGGGTAGAAACTTTCAAATCGTGTGCTCTCATATTTGGCTATTTAATGGAATTTCCGTAAAGGAACTGCCAGGGGGTGAGAAAAAAAGGATTTCTTGATCTGAACGTTACACACAGTTGAGGTGTACGATGCTGTCAAAGTTACAGACTTTGAACTTGGACAAAGGACATTCCTCAGCTGTGAATCAGAGGTTGAAAAGGTCAACTCCTAAATAACACCCTGTTTTATTCTAGGCTCTCCCCCATATTTCTACACATATGGACGGGCACACAATGCACAATTTACTCCCCTGAACAGAGCCTTGCCAAAAAAAGAAGAGCCCACTGACTCTGCAACACCTTATTTCCTTAATAACATTCAGACCATGAATGAAGATGTTACCGGTTTTAGAAAACATGAAATAGAGCACTTTTTCTGAAAAACAGTGATGCATGCACCTGAGTAAATGCCGGCAGGCTCTCCAGTGGCTTAAGATAGGGAGTGTTAAGCCACAGAATGAAAACATGTCTTTTAGTTTAGGTGTGATCGGGTTAACAGCAGCCTCTGTGGAAAAACAAATAGTGACTCTTTAGATTTCAAAGTGTTGAGTGGAGTGAGAAAATAGCTTATCTGACACATTCAATTCTTAATGGAAGAAATAAGAAGCATTTAATATCTGTTGTGGTAAAAACTATATATAAATGAACAACTCAAATGTTTGATCGGAATGAAACCTCCAATCAATCTGCTGTAGTGGAAGTAAAATACTTTTAAAGATTAGGCTTCTTTTTTGTCAAAGAAGCATGTTTCCTTGATTCAAATGTTCAATAAAAAAAAATTGTATGTTTTCTTCTTTTTCCTTTAAATTACTGTTACCAATTATCACTTTAAAAAGGGACAGTCCCACATATTTTGGGCAAAAGTATGTGTCAAAATATATCCTGGTTAATATCAAGTGTTTAAAAAATAATTTCAAATAGAAAAGAACATTCAAAAAAAGGTTTCAAATGTTGGTCGGTTGGAAAAGAAAGGCCACTCAAGTAGTGTCCCTAATCTATTTTTCAAAGAATTGAAAATCCTACTTTAAATGTGTCTGTACCTTCTGAGGAAACATGGTGCTCTTAGCGTCACTGTGCAAGATTGCCACCTGCAGGTGGAACAGAGACACTGCTAATCAGGAAGCATTTTTACATTATTTTAGAGAAAAAAAGTATTTTAAAAAAGTGTTCTGGGTGAACCAAACCCCAATCTAAGTTACAACAGGTGAAATTAAACCATTCAAACCAACAAACATGTATATCCGTCAGTGGTTCCCAGGACAATGGAATCTAATGGCTGAATTTCTTTAAGTTACATTTTGTCTTCATGAGACAACTCTGTTTCAGATCTAAAGCTGAGATGATTCCCCCTTTAGCCATGGCCTTCACCTAAAGTAAAACAAGTGTTTGTTTACAGAGAAAGCTGTTAGTGATTCTCTGCCGTCTTTGTTAGTTATGTTCTCTATTATGGCTAAGATGGAAGCTCAGAATTTGAATCTCTTTCGTTTCCATGTAGAGAGTTGAGTTAATTTTTAGTAAGAATTGGTGTTTTGTTTGTTTTTGGTCTGGGAGGCCCTGATGCCTAAAGATTTTTCTGTTTTTCTTTTATTAGATTCCTGTAGACTTACATTTAAATTTAAAATACTCATTTCTTTGGACATCCTCTCTTTGGTTATTTTTTTTTTTTATTTTTGTGTAGCACCCTGTGCCGTGCTGTTTAAGGGGGCTAAAACTATATCAGCAAATATTTTTTTTAGTTGTGTTAGAGAAGAGAGGGATCTAATTACTGCAGATATTAGCTCATCAAATATGTAATGATTATAAAGATCAATAATGAATGTAATCAACACAAGCAAGCTTTGAGAAGAACCCCTGATTTAGGTTTATCGCAGCATCCCAACAGACGGAAAAACAGCTCCTAAGTTTAATATTATCCTAAACCTGAGGCATATTTCACAAAATGATGAGGGATTAAATTGTTATTTTCCAGATATTATGGCTAGATTATGTCTTAACGGTGTTTTTTTCATACAATGAAAAAAAATAATGCAACCGTTTTTGGCATTTATTTAATCATATTTAGTTACTTTAACACAATTGTTTCATGTTAGCAGGGAAGGACATAAAATAATTGTGTTAAAGTAACTAAATATGATGCCAAATGCTAAAAGCAGTTGCATTACTTTGAATAACAAACACAAACGCAAAGAGGCGTGCCGAAAAAGTGTGCATAATTTCTAACATTTGATGAGCAACAAAACAAAGGTTGCAGCCCACTAATCCTATCTATCTATCTATCTATCTATCTATCTATCTATCTATCTATCATCTATCTATCTATCTATCTATCTATCTATCTATCTATCTATCTATCTATCTATCTATCTATCTATCTATCTATCTATCT